GAACTTTTAATTGCCAGCTCGTGACTGAGGGAAGCGGGCGGTGTGCGCTCCCCTCGCCGGAATTCAATCACAACTTCCATTTTGTAGAAAATCAGCAAAGAATTGTCTTGGGGACAGATATCTACATATTTTATTTTATTTTTCCTCCCCTACAGTGTTAAGCTGCTTGTGACTTCTCGATGCTGGCTGTGGCGTTTCCCCTCAACGAACTTGTATTTCTCCACCCTGTCCTGTGCAGTCTGGCTGAAATAAACCGAGTTAAAAACAGCCCCCTCCAAACACGCTGAATTCTGGGCGAAACTTGCAAAGGGAGTTGGTGGCTGCTCTTGCAGGGGAATCGCGTTCTTCATAGATTTGATTTGTACTGAATCTATAAGGCAGTCTGCATGTGCTCGTTTCTACGTGGTTGGTCTGTAGAGTTGCCTGGTATTTCCTCTCGAAACTGCAAAACAGGGTGCATATTTTTTCCCTTAATATCCTAGTTTAATAATCTGTTTTGCTGGAAGGTTATTTTTTTTTTCTTTTAAGAAATGAAGAGTGAGAGTTCGCGATAACAATACACATCAGTTGCCCAATAACATCACAAACCACTTTGCAATCGGACGATTGGAAAAAAAAACTTTGCTTATTAGCAGTGCCTTTTTTTTGATACTCTGAAAACATCTTGCTAATAAGCCAAAATATTTTCTGTAAAGCTAAATAATGTATAGCTTTGTATGTCAAGAAGCATGAGCTGGTTAGCAGTTTGAAGAGTAAATCCAAATCTTGAATGCCAAAAAGGCGAATCGACAACAGAAACTTGCCCATGCCGCCTGACAAGTCCCCGCTGCCCTGCGCGGATGGACACGGCCCCGGTCAGTCGGGCGCTCCCAAACCTTCCCGTTACCGAGAACATAATTTGGTACAGTTTGAGATGCAATTTGTTTTGGCAGCCACAGACCAGGCGCATGAGCACCCATCAGAGCGTTCTCACCGTCAACTTGTTTTCAGAGCAACCTCCGCAAGAAAAAGGGCTACAAAAATTAATTTTTTTTTCCCCTGCGTTTCAAACGTTGATGCCTACGGCCCACGCAGACCCGGGGGAAACCGAAATACCCACATAAACATTCCGCGCAGGGAGGCGAAGCCAGCCTGTAATTAGCCGGGGCTTTTACGCCG